TTGAATGTTTTCATCTGAGTCTTTTAAATGCTTTTGGAAGTTTTCAGTTGCACCTCATTTACATTATGATTTTAATTATACATGATCAGAAGTGTAAAATTTACAGGCATTTTAAAGCCAGGGAATTTTTCCTTAAAATTTCATTCTTGTTTTTTTTGGGGGGGGGGGACATAGAGAATTTTAAGAAAAATGAAAATGTTTTTTAATAGTTACATACTGTATTCATAAAATATTTTATTTCCTACAAAATAACATTTCCCACAAGGTAAGAAAACAATAAGTCATAATAATTAAGAACCACCCAGCGTATGCTCTTCCCTCAGTTCAGAATGCCCTGCTCTTGTTTTTTAAAAACTAAGAGCCAATTTGATACTTGCTTTTTGCTCCCCCCATCCTGTTAATGTGCTGGCTCAGTCACAGGTTATCTGTAGTAAAACCAAATGAGAACTTAGTGTTTCTAGTTGTACCCTATACTTTCATGTCCTGTGCTAGTTTAAAAGTCATTGGGTGAGAAAATTCAGACATCTTCATGTAACTTAAAGGGTTCGGGTTTTGCTAAGAAGATCCAAGTCAAGACAGGCTTTTCCAGCATTGTCTACTCGGCTCAGATCCCTCCCATGACCCTGAACAGATGTCATCATTAGTAGATCTTCGGTTTCACTTTTCCGAGGCCCACTTTAAGGTCGGCAGTGAAGGACAGGTTTAGCGCATGGACAGGGAGTCCGGGACAGGCCGCAGTATCTGGGCCCTGCGCCCTCCACGTCGCTGCGTCCCCAGGTTGGAGGCGGGCCCGCGCCACCTTCTCACGTCTCTGCAGACACAGCGGTGTCCTGAGGCGGCGGGGGCCGCCCCGCCCTCAGCTCCTCACCAGTCTCTGTGAAGCGGGGACTCACCGAGCCAGAAGCTGACTCTGGGTCGGGTGAGCGTGCCTCCCTTTGAGTCAGTTCACAGCGGGAGAAATACTGAACAAAGTGCAGGTTCTCTTGGGCAAGAGAGGGAGTGTGTGCTGGGCACCCCGCATGGTCTGCTTTGGTTACCCCGTATCCACACAGTCTCTCTGTCTCATACACATACTTTTCTTCTTTACATTCTCCCAACTGTTGGAAAAATTTTGAAGATACACAAAGACTGAAAAAAAAATAGTACAATAAATTCAGACTCTTAAATTTTTAGTGTTTTGTTACGTCTGTTTGATCTCTCGCTTCCTCTCTCTATACAGACAGACAAACACCGGTTTGGCTTTTCTTTTGTTTGCGGGACCATTTGAAAATTAGTTGTAGACAACAATACCCAAATTTACCCTCATTATCATAGCATAGGTCTTCTAAACAAAGTCATTCTCGTTTATACCATATGACTGTTCACACATATCCAAAAACCTTAACACCAACTAAATAATACCATCTAATAGATGGTCTATACTCAGATTTCCCGAGTTACCTCCAAAGGCCCTTTTTAGCTGCTCGTTTTTAGTTTAGGAAACAGTCAGGGCTCCTGCACTGTATCTGGTGGACATAACTCTTTAATATCCTTTAACCAAAAGCATTCCTCAAGTTTAAAGAAGACATAGGACCATGAACTTTCACTCACTCATCACTTGTCTTCAGTAAGAAGCAACTGGTTGATCTGGTTTCATCTGAACACACCCACTCCTTCACTAGCACTTCCCAGAAAAGTGTTAGAAAACGCCGCGGGAAGAAAGAGCCACCTCTAAGGACCGTTGATGAAGGCCTTTATTGGGCGGTCGCTCTCGGGCAGAACTCCCGGGGGCGGGTGAGTGAAGAGACGAAGGGAGTCTGCAACCTGCGGGAAGGGGGGCGGCACCTATATACCCTGGCGGATACGGANGAGACGTAAGAGACATGGGTTCGATCCCTGGGTCAGGAAGATCCCCTGGATGAAGGCCTGGGCAACCCACTCCAATATTCTTGCCTGGAGAATCCCACAGACAAAAGAGCCTGGCAGGCCACAGTCCATAGGGTCACAAAGTCCAACACAACTGAAACGACTTAGAATGCATGCACATGAAGAAATCAGATTATATATTCTGTAGATTTCCTGAACCTTGGACATTTCTGATTGTCTCCCAGTTACCTAATGTGTTCTCGTGTCTTCTGTATTTCCTGTTAAGTTGGTGGCAGGATCTGAGGGCTTTATTATACTTGATAAAATTGTAAAAACAAAATTTAGATGTAATTCAAAAGTGGTGTTATCTCTACCGACCATCTTATGTGCCCTCAACTTATTGACTTTTGCCTTGAAGGAACTTGAAACAAGTTGGGAAGCACCACTGTAATCTACTTTTTGCTGAAACTCATCATACAGCCTAGTTGGAGACATGTCAATGTTAAGAAGTCATCAACATCATAAAATCTGTATCTATAAGGAACCATCTCTATCTCAGCTATCTACATGACTGTTCTTAGTAATGTAACTCTGTCAGTTCAGAGAACTCAGTTGTAGGCACTTACTAGTTTTTTCCCTGGATGTTAACAGAACGCTTCAGTCAGTTAACCCTAAACTGGGCACGTGCCAACCCCAAACAGCAATTAAAATAATTTACTCCTATAGCTAGAAGGCATATTCAAAATTATCTATCATCCCTAGTTCTTTTTGTTTTACAGGAGAGAAATACCTAAAGAAAAGTTCTACAGACTGTTATTCCCCCAGAGAATCATTATCAGTAAATGCCACAACTTGGGACACAAGTCCATTTAAACATATTCCAAATCCACACTTCTTGTTTTGTTAGGTAAGGATCATCCTCATAAGAACCAATAACAACCCTGGGTCTCTGTTGTCTCCAGGAAGTTCGTCTGTCTGAATGACAACATTGACCACAATCATAAAGATGCCCAGACAGTGAAGGCTGTTCTCAGGGACTTCTACGAATCCATGTTCCCCATCCCATCCCAGTTTGAGCTGCCAAGGGAGTATCGAAACCGTTTCCTTCATATGCATGAGCTGCAGGAATGGTAAGTGTTCATGTTTCACATACATGTATATTTTTCTTTTTTAGAGTGATGAAGTTTCTTTACTGTTATTTTCGCTAATTTCTTTGTAAAAAGACAGGTATAGTTTTTATTGATCTAACTGGTCAGGTACATCTACTGAGCCTTATTCGTCATCACTGCCATCTGAGTGGCTTCCCTGTGTCTTAGCCAGCACTGTGCTGGGCAGTGTATTTACTCTTACAATGAAAAGTGCTGCCCTGACTGCCACAGAAAGATGAGAGTTACAGGAATAGAAGTGACGTGATTTCCTCTCTGAGCTGTTTGTTGATCCTCTTCATGCAGGAAACACAGGAGGAAGAACAGTATAGGAGAGGGTACCATTTTGAATATGTGACTTGGGATACAGACACCGCCTACCAGACAGCTGTGACTGACTCTGCCTTATGTTAAGCATTTATTTAATCTTCATAAAAAGTTATTATTTCCAAATTACAGAGGAGAAACCTGCCATACTTCCCCATGCGGGGCCCCCCCCCCCGCCCGGCTTTATCCTTAATACCCTCCCACCTAGTCTGATTCCATCCTCCGTGTCTCATATGTTGCTTGTTCCCTTCCACCCTCGCTGCCCTCATCCAGCCCTCATCCTTTCCTTTGCCTGGACTAACGGGACTGCCTGCCTCTGGTCACCTGCTTAGGACATCCATCCTATAAATAGCCACCCCGATTGTGACACACGTGTGCACACACACACACGCATTAGAGCACTGTGTCCAACCCACTGTGTGTGGTTTTCCAGAACAACTGCAGTCCACAGCCACCGCTTTTTCTTGGCTGCGCACCCCTGTGTCCTCCAGGCCAGACTGGACTCAGCTCTGCGGGACCTGGGCTGCCGCTCTGCTCATGCTCCTCCCCTTTCTCAGCCACAGGCTTTTCTGCCCCACTCCAAGGCTTAAATGAACTGTCACCATCTGTTTGATGCATTCCTCATTTCACTGCTTCTCTGCAAGACTGCTTCTGATAATAGATATTTCTGTCCGCCTTGTGTGGTGGCTGGTTATCTGCACATCAGCACCTCCCCAGGTTCACAGGTGCTTTAGAGCAGGGACCTCTCCTCATCACCTGTCTATCCACAGGAAGTGTTTACTGGGTGACTGCGTGGATAAATGTGCTGTGCTGTGCTTAGTCGCTCAGTCGTGTCCGATTCTTTGTGACCCCGTGGACTGCAGCCCACCAGGTCCCTCTGTCCATGGGGATTCTCCAGGCAAGAATACTGGAGTGTGTTGCCATGCCCTCCTCCAGGGGGTCTTCCCAACCCAGGGATCGAACCTAGGTCTTCCGCATTGCAGGCAGATTTACCAACTGAACCACCAGGGAAGCCCTAATTCAATTTGACAGTCAAATTGCACACACTCTAATATCAGTTTGAATAGCAGACATGAAGATCTTAGCTCCAAAAACTTCTTTTAGCGTCAAGAAAGAGCAGTTCTAAGCTCAGTACCTATGAGACTTGAGACATGGCCCAAAATTCTGCTTGCAGCTGCTAGGCGATGCTTCCACTAACAGCTGAAGTGCAGGCGCTTCACTTGAGCTCTGTTAGAGGCATTTTAACGGTCCAGCAGTGTGGACAGGGGAGGCTAGGTGCTCAAGCCACTGTGTGGTGACCAGCATCGCCAAGCTGGCTGGAACTATTACTGATTCAAATATTTACTATAACAATGAAAAATCTGAACTCACATGGGAAATATATAATTATGTTAACATTTTAGAATTACCTTCAATCATTGTTTTTGTGTTTCACAACATTGTTTCTGTTAAGCTAGTATAGTTTGCTAAACTAGTAAATACTATATAGTTAGTTTTACTAGCTAATGATAGTTAAACCCTACACAGAACTACATATTTGCTTTCTTTTTTCTCTGAACAGGAGGGCGTATCGAGACAAATTGAAGTTCTGGACTCATTGTGTGCTAGCAACATTGATTATGTTTACTGTATTCTCATTTTTTGCTGAACAGGTAAGTTTTATCAATTTTATGTGGATGTCAATTTCTTGGCATCTAATTTTTTTTTTTTTAAAGAAAATGATATAAATTCATAACAAGAAAATGTTTATTTCTCCTATTGGCTTATAGCTCGTATGTCAAATATTTCATAATATTCAGGCAGCAGTCATAATTGCCTTTTTTAAATCTATCTTCTAAACCTATTACCAATATTCTTTGTTTGTGGAGTTCAATAAATAGAGCTTTTCAGTTTTAGCCTGAGGTCTACATGTCAAACTATTTTTAACCAAAAAAACCACCCAGAATCTGCATCTGATACTAATTTTTTATGGGTCTCCAATTTTCTTTCTTTTAATCTTTCTAAAAGAGACCGCAGTGTCTTTACCTGCAGGCCTCCCCCAGTTCTGGCGAGGGCGCCCGGCTTGCGCACCAATCCATTTTCTCCCACTTAACGCTTATTCCTTGAATTGCTGGCAGTTCCTCCCCAGGCAGGCAAGCACACACCTCCTTCAAGTGACAGTCCGGAAGGAAGAGGGAGATTTGTGAGGTCAAAAGAGGACTAAGAGAATCTGCTTCAGGCCACAGCAGTCGTGAAATTCTCAGAAAGAAGAAAAAGGATTCAAGGAAAGGGGAATAGTGTCAGGCTGACCTGACCTGTGCGGGCAGGTGAACCCACCTCAGCCTCCTTCCTGGTGATTCTGGAGTGAGGCTTATCTGGCGGTTACGGTGGCATGTTTTCACTGAGTTTACTTACACTGAGGAGGCAGCGGCGGCCTGAGAACCGAGAGCTTTAGGATAAACACTCCCCGGCTTCCTGCTGGAAGGAAACTCGGGAAAGAAAGGTCTGGCAGGCCAGCAGTTTCACCTTCGTCCACCTCTCAGGGAATAGAAACGCAGCTCTTGATTGTGTCACCATTGTTCTTGGCAAGTAAACATCTCAGGAAGAAATCTTATGCTGTGCCTGCTTTTAGAGCAGAGTCCAGTGAGGCGCCTGTGGGTCAGCTGTGTGCTGGCTGAAAGGAGCAGCTGGAGGCCGTGGAAGGAACAAGAGGGTCTTTGCTTCCTGTTGTTTATACCAGCAGGAGGGGGAAAGGACGAATGACTCCTCTCTCCTCCCTGGCGCTTGTTCTTTACCAGCTTGAATCAAATTCCTTACCTTCTGCCATACTCACAAACAAGCCACGGCTGCCCCTTCCTCTGCCCAGGAATCCAGCTCGTCCAGACCAGTGTAGTGCACCGCCCAGCTCTCACCTCAAGATGGAGGATTAGAGATTGAAACCATAAAGAACACATTTTTCTCATTGAAACTTTCTTCTAACAGTGGTCAGGTTTTCTATTTCAGCTGTATCATGGATAAACTGTTTCTGTTATAAGTATTTATTCCAAGTTCTAATCTACTAAGTCATAGATGAACTTTTGCATTTCAGCCTATTCATAAACTTGAAAATATAGGTAATGCCCAATGATTGTTGATATGGTTACTAAGTACAGGAAAACAATGGTGATAGAATTCTTAACAAAAAAAAAAAATTAAGATTCTAGCTTACCCGTGTAGTTGTTTGCAAACCCAGAGGCAGTATCTCAATGAGGGAAGACTCAGTGTCCTTCAGTGGAAAGACTCGACAGACATCCTGAAAATGAATACCTGTGGTAATTGTTATATAAAAATACGTAGTTTTTATAGGTCTTAAAGAAAAAGAAACTTGGGGAAATATAATTTGAACCATATAAAAAGCCATTAGTTTTGTTTTGAGGGGAGGAATGATGGAGCCTTGTTTGCCGTCTCTTCTTTATGTACAGGACTAGGGAAAAGATTAAGGTCATATGACCCTCAGCAAGAAAGTTAAAGTTTGTTAACCTGGAGGATTACAATTTATCTTCTGTCTTTCATCCTTTAGTTAATTGCACTTAAGCGGAAGATATTTCCCAGGCGGAGGATACACAAAGAAGCGAGTCCTGATCGAATCAGGGTATAAAAGAGATCCATCAGAAATCTACCTCAGCGTTCACTGAGCATTTGAAAACTTGGCATCAGAGATGTCTTCATGATGTGATGCTCAGCCAGCTTGGCCTGCAGAAGGGAAAACACCCAGTACAGGACTTGTTTTCTGGCATGAACAAAGCCTCCTGACCAGGAACTGTTTAACCCACACAGAGAAGACGTGCGTGTTGAGCAGCCCTGGTTTCACTTCTGAAACATTGGCTCATGGACCTGTCTGTCATTCTTTAAATGAAGTGGCTCACGGGCGAGACAGAGGTTGCCGTGGGAACTGAGCAGCTAGCTAAAATGAGACACCGAAGCCACCTTGAGTGCTGTTGCTAGGAGTCCCCCGTCTTTTGCATTCCAAAGCTTTTTGCTGTGGTTTTACCTTCTGGGGGGGAGGGGGTGTTTCTTTTTTTCCATTTTTCATTTTTAAAGTAGCTACTAAGTTAACTAAGTTATTCTTCCTTTCAAAAACAATGAATTAGGATGTGTAACATGTTTTTATAGATATTATTTAAATAATGCAGCAGCAACACATCCTATTGACAATATCTAAATTATAAATTTTATTAACACTGAAGACTACGTGATCTTAACCTACTTACCATGAACTCAATGACAGATATCTGATATTTGTGCCCCTAATATCTTCAGCCCCTAAGAATACTGTGATTTTATGTGGAGACCTGATTACCAAGGGCTAGAGTTAAGTAGCAGAGCTACTTGCTAGATGTAATTATGTTTTGAAGATGTACATATTGAAAAAGAAGTGCCTCATTTTAGAAATGAGTAGTGCTGATGGTACTGGCACATAACAGTGGTGTCTTTTTTAAAATACTCATCAGTATATTCCAGTAGCTGACTCTCAATCAGCTTCATGTAATGCAGGGTCAGGAAACTTTTTTCTTTAAAATGCCACAGAGAAAATATTTGCCGGCCACATGGGTCTGTGTTGCATATTCTTTAATTTAGCTTTTGTTTTAATAATCTTTTTAAAATGTCAAAACCATGTCTAACTTGCACCTGTACAAAAACAGGCCATAGGCCATGATACAGAATTAGTATTCTTATGTGTAAGTAAGCCCTGACAGTCAGCTGTGTTTTATTGTCGTTGTACTGTGGATTTATGAAGACCAGATTCCATGGGTCCTTTTTGAACTCTTGACAGGTATTTTAGATCATGATCTTAACAGTATTCTTTCCAAATGGCATACACATTTTGTAAAAAGAACGTGTAAATAACTTGTGTTTGTGCTGTGAGAGTTACATATTTCAAAAACTGAAGTCTCATAAGACTTAAATTTTATCTGATGCTTTAACTTTTGATCTTTGAAGAGTGAGTTTGTCATCTAGATTCAGCAGTCATCTTATATGATTGCTTATATGGCATGTCAGGGGCTTCCCAGGTGGCTCAGTGGTAAAGAATCCGCCTGCAGTGCGGGAGACGCAGGTTTGATTCCTGGGTGGGAGAGAACCCCTGCAGAAGAAAATGGCAACTCACTCCAGTATTCTTGCCTGGAAAATCCCAGGGTCAGAGGAGCCTGGTGGGCTGTAGTCCATCGGGTTAGAAGAGTGTTGGACATGACTTAGCGACTAAACATTAAGTGGAAGTTAAGTTTCCACAACTGAAATTAAGTGGAAAATAGTGTAAGGACAGGTTGGTAGTGTTACTACCTGGAGAATGTCATTATGTGGGGGAAAATAAGTTCTAAAAAGGATTTATGTGGTAAAAATTTAGGGGTTATCTGGGTATCATTCTTAAAGTGAAGAATTCTAGAAAAGTTCAAGAAATGAACATTTGGGTGTGATGGAGATTTCTGGTTAGGTGAACATAATCCACACTTTATTTGGAGCTTAATAGATAATGAGATGGATACAATATAGAATCATTGCAATATAGAATCATTTATCTAATGATTCAGTAGAATCAGTAGAACAAAAGAACCTCAGAAGTGATGGGCATTCACGTGTCTTCAAGAATTTTAACAAGAAAGGAAAACCATAGGGCAGTTTACCTCATAAGAATTCCAAGTGAAACATTAGTAAAAGCAGGTTGGTCAACACCTGAAAATCAGTGTAATTCACATCAGTAGGACCGAAAAAGGAAACTGCATGATAACATTTTTTTAAAGAAAGCACAGTAAAGCAATTATCCTCCAATTAAAAATAAATTAAAAAAAAATAAAGCATGGTCCATTCAGACTAATAAATAATTGAGTCTAGGATAATAACTTCCCCATTCATCAATAGTTTTCAACATTTTTGCCAATTTGTTTGCTCTACTATTTTTCTTCATTGGTATATTTTAAAGTAAATCCTAGACTTCCTAGAGACAAGAAGACAGGGGAGGTGAAGGGCTTCTTATCAGTCTTAACTGCTCCTCTTTCCCGTTTGCCTTGATAACAACTCTGCTTACTGGACATGTTTTATGTGCTAAATGCACACATCTTAACAAGTTGCCTAAGGAAAAGAGGGGTACAGGAGACATGCCCTGAAGAGCCGTGGCTCAGCACCACCCATCCCTGCCCCTCTCTACATGCCAGCATTTCTCCCCGCGGTGGGGAAGTGGCAGTTCCCGGCCCCCATCTCCCCAAGAGGCAGGAAGCTTCCTCTCCGACTCAGGTGCTGAAAACCCTGGTGGAGATGAGTTACTGCAACTGGCTTACTCTAGGTTCTAGCCACACATCTGTGGCCAGAATGTGCAGACTTTTACCCAAAGGAAGGGAGGGGTGTTGGGCTAATAAAAAACACACCACTCCAGCTTCATGGGACAGAGGTTGGGTACATGAGGACAACCAGGTTTCTAGATTATTGAGTCAAGTTGAAGGCAAGCTGCCATATTTGAAAGCAAGAATACAGTGGACCTTATAATTTTTTCATTATTGAAAGGATTCAAAGAAATGTATGGAAAGCATCAATACAGAATACAGTAGCTGTCATGTAATAAGTGATCCAAAATGGTTCACAGTTAGTCTCAAGTTCTTGATCTTCCTGCTGCCTTTTCCCCCACCTGCACTGGCCACACACATCTCATTTTCCAAAACATGTTGTGCACTTTTATGCCTCTGTTCCCTTACAGATGCTTTCCTTACCTGTTAAACTCCTTGTACCTCCAGGTTCCATCACTAATAGCTGATCTACTAAGAAATTTTCTGTAAGACTAGCTATCAGTATGACTAAAGGAATAAGGGATATAATGTTGAGGCTTTCAAATAACCTTACAAGATTCTACAGCCACACTGACTAAATAATAGGGAGGGGGATCAAGACGGAGTAAGAAGATGTGGAGCTCACCTCCCCCCACAAACGCATGAAAACTACATCTCTGTGTGGAACAATTCTCATGGAAAACAGAATTGGCAGAATAATTCCTATACACCAAGGACGCAAGAAGGATTCCCATGTGGTGGGGTGGAACAGGAAAGAAAGCTTCAGGTAGAGACCTGTTGCCCTGGGGTGGGACTCACAGAGAAGGAGCGGGGTGATCACGAGGGCAGACACAGGCCCTGCCTGGGGAGTGAGTGGGTCGAGCCACAAGCTGAGCATCTCCTGCAGAGGAGAGCAGGCCAGACTCCACTCCCGAGAAGCACCAGGGCATTGGCTTGTCCCCAGACCCAGTGGCGTCTGCCCTACTGGCTGCTGCCTCACCATGCTCCCCAGTCTGAGCTCAGTGACCATCCCAGCCTCTCTCAGTCCACACCACCAGTTGGTACTGGGCCTAGGGCAGCCAGGTCCTGGGAAGAGACTTGATCTAGGATGCAGAAGTGGTCCAGGGTTATTGTATGGGCCAGGTAGGCGGAGGCCACTGGCATTTACTCAAACAGCATCACAGCTGCAGGCCACACTCCGACAGTGGCCCAACCGCTTCAGTTCCCACAACCAGAATACCCGACCCCCAGCCAAGCGAATGCTCTAACCCTGCCCATTCCACACCACAGCCTTGCTCGAGATCGGTGACAACCAGAATAGGGGAGAAGATGCGACCTTGGGCTACATTTGAGCAGAGCCGCAGCACGTGGGGCCTCTGAGCCACACTCACATCAGCTGTACCCTCCTTTGGGGCAAAGACCCCCTTGCAGGGAGAAGGAAAAACACACCCTTAAATGGAGCAGAGTCAGCTCAAGTCTGACCCTCAGGGCACCCACTCCAGTCACTTGGAAACAGACCTCCACCCCTGCCACTGAGCAGAGAGGAAGTCTACCTCATCTGCGCAGGCTCTAGCTCGGCCAACACCAGCCACACTCCTTATCAAGTAGACAGTACAACATCGAGGAAAGATGTGGCTGGCATCAATGTCAAATCCAGCCCTCACACCAAAGACATTGGGCACACGAAGTCTACCCAGGGATGTTCCCAAATAAAACATCCCATCAAGACAACAGATAACTGTTTAACCTAAATTCATAGAAATGGAGAAAGGTAAGTAAAATGATAAAGCAGAGGGATTACTCTCAAAAGAGTAAGAGAAAACCCCTGAAAAAATAATGCAACAGTGATAATCAGTCTACACACAATGAATTCAAGATGTTGGTAATAAAAATGCTAACTGAATTAGGAGAATCAATCTAAATACAGATAATTTTGACAAGAAACTGGAAACTTCAAGTTTAATAAAAAACAGATAATTCAATTTCTGGGATAAAAAGC